CAATATTCCGAATGTGATGAGACACGTGATATCGATCATCTCATGATACGAAATATAGCAAAGAATAGAATATTCAGGACGATAGGTGGAGTATTTAAGTTGTATCAACTTGAAGAACTTAAGAAGTAGGGTAAAAAACACAGTGACCTATTTAGTTATCGATCAATTTTGATTGGCTCAGTAAAACAAGCTATGGGATGCAATTATCTTCGTCCCATGGAGTGAACAAACTTTTGTGCATTGGTTTAATTCTCAGGGGTTTGGGTTGATAAAACCAATCAATAATTTATGATGAAGAAGAAACATTCCAACAGGAAGTCAGTGTACTCATTGAAAATTGTTCCTTCTTCTGGGACAACCAATCGGAACAAGGATAGCTGAACTCAGGTGAGGGGTCGGAATCGACAGCTAGTGATGGAGATTGACGAAGATCCAGTTCTCTCTGTTCCGTATCAATAAGCATGTTATCCTGGAATAAAGTGATTCGTGCACACTTCTAGCTAAGTTCTGTTACACTACCAAGGAGGGTACCTTCTGGACGAGAGACGCAATCGAAGGACGAGAAAATTCCAACGCTTATTATTGCTAAGTAAAACAACTGCAACTCTGAAGAATGACTTCACACTCAGAGTGAGGTTGGGACCTGGGCCAACCCAGCCCCGTAGCAACATATGATAATTTGGAGGTGCAAAACGTTTGTGATTTACTTGCCATATCATGGGTTTGGAAAACGTAGTATCTCGAATGTTTACCAAAAATTTAGAATTCATCAGTTTATCTGAGCCATACGGTAGACAGAGAAGAAATCTATGTGCATCCTATTTAATTAGCTGTTGAAAGCTAGTAAAATTCACAGAATCTCACGAAAATCAGAATTAGTTAGCTTTCACGGTAACTGTTGGTACCTTTTACGAACCCCAAGTCATATGTGATCAGTTCGGTAATGAGCGATGCCCAAGGAGATTCATCTCGGTCAATAGAAATCAAATTATGCTTTGTGGTACTATTTTGTTCTTATTTTACGGTCAGCTGAGCGCTCGTCAACTTCATGAACTGTCTGATGAGGAATCGGCGAAGTAAAAACAGGTCAGTGCGAACGTACCGAACAGCATGATTACCAAGCGCGTGCGCGCACACACACAATCTCATCCCGTAGAATGTGGAGATAGGTGAGAGAGACAGACCAAGTGAGAGAACACAAACGCTTATTGTCAAACTCATACATCAGAGAGAATCACTAGCAAATAAGCGGTGTCATGTCACTCTGACCAGTGTTTGTGAATTCCGGACACTATCAGATTGGGAATATGGGTCAGTATTTAGTTCTTGTTTAGGTGAAACCGAAGAATCATATTCTGAACACAATTCTCAAATAGTTTATCACAGCGGATTTAATCGACCCCCCACTCCGAAATCCACCTGCCCGGAAATTTCGGAGTCTCGGTAGCCCCGTCTACTGTACTTTGATCAGTCCGTATTATTAGGACGGAGTTATGAGACCTTAGGGAACTTGTGGTTCGGTTCCCCACACGATAACTCGTCAGTCTGAGTTGTTGACAGCGAGCAACACCTCTTTGTGAGTGATACATTGAAGAATTCACGTGTTCCCACAATCTGTAATAAAGGGCGAATTACCGTTCGAATAAAAAACAAAGTCGGTTTAGATCGTTTATCAGGCTCTTCTAAAACCTCATGGGTTCGGCAGAATAAGATAAACTCCATAAATACAGAAACATGAATCGATAGGGCACGTAAGCACCCACGAAATGTGCGCATCTAACCGGGAACCAAATTTAACATACTGTGTAGCAGAAAAACCTAGAAATCGAGCATTACTATGAAAATTAACTCGATATATATATATATATGTCTCATACCGGTACATTCAGGTGAGCCCGGTTCCAGAGTACATTGTTGTACATCTTCCGCAGGTCCAGGGCACCCGTGAGCTTGTTGTCCGATTCGGGGTTCTTCAACACCGCCCAGTTTTATCTCACGCAGCTGACAGATTCGAGTACGACGTTTCCAGCCACCCAGCTGCGAACGAGGCCCGGTGAACAGACAGTCCGGTTCGCATTCAGACCACTCTGTCCATTCAGACCATGAGGTATAGGGAGCAGGACCGGCAGGACCACCGGATCCAGGACAAGCCAGGGAGCTTCCCGGTTGATTCACTTCACAAGTGCGTACCTCTTTCGCTGAACCGGGGCACAATCGACCACCGTACTGCGGTGCCGGTTGACTACATTCTCGTTCCCGTGTTTGCAAACCGATTCCGCATGTGCGTGAGCAGGCAGACCACGAGGACCAGTTTGACCATTCTCCATGAACTGCAGACGTGAACAGTGGGGAAATGATGATGTTCACAGTTTAAAGAAGTAAATGATTCCAAGATTCTCGAGTAAAACACGGGGTTTAGAAATCCCTACCTTCCCCTTCAAAGAGCTTTCAGTAGAAACGAGTGCACGGAAAAATCCGGACAATACCTGACACTTGCCGGACATTAATCTTCCACCACTATCTACCTAAATATTCCCATCTTTACCCGGGTACCAACACAGTAGGACGTTCTTACACAGCTGATTTACACTGTATCCTTCCACGCGGAAAATTTCACCTTTCGTTTTCGTTCCGATATCGCGCTCGCTGGTCTTTGCCACCTTTGTGTCCTAACGCAAATTTGCGTTAGGGTGCACCGGTAAATTCTCTGTGCCACGGTACTGCAGTATACTTCTGTTAAGACCACAAGTTCTCTGAGTTAAACAATAGCAGCTTGGTTGCTTGTGAGTTACGGGATCCGTCCAGAAGTTCGTCACGGCTGCCCAGAGTTGCCGCTCTTCAAAATCAATTTTCACTTGCAAAACACTTCGATTAGTAGTAGTAGTAGTGGTAGTGGTAGTGGTAGTGGTAGTGGTAGTGGTAGTAGTAGTAGTAGTAGTAGTAGTGGTAGTGGTAGTGGTAGTGGTAGTGGTAGTAGTAGTAGTAGTAGTAGTAGTAGTAGTAGTAGTAGTAGTAGTAGTAGTAGTAGAGTAGTAGTAGTAGTAGTAGTAGTAGTAGTAGTAGTAGTAGTAGTAGTAGTAGTAGTAGTAATTACAGGACCCGAATCGATAATCGGCTATCACGGACTGGATCGCCGAAGCAAGGACCCACGAGAGCGAGACACGAGGAAATGGCCAAAGGACAGGCAGTAAGTAGTTCGTGTATTGGAAGAAATAAAGGTGATTAAATAATATGTACAGTGCGATTGGTCCATCGTTTTCGGTCGTTTCGGCGCTCTCACCCGTGACCCTAAGCAAGTAAATTCCCTCTGACCCCTAATGCGACCTGATTGGATCATATTCCGCGATCTGCGTTGCTTAAAATCTCTCACCCCAACACGAGACTGTCTGACTACCGACTTGTACGTTTTGTATTGCTCATGTTGTTACGTCCAGTCCATCCGAGTGCTGACGGCACTCCTGCTACACAGTCGAAGTTCACTGAGCCTGCATGAGACTCACAGCTGTAAAAAAAGGTGTGGTTTCTCGCTCGGGTTAGCTGGGCAAGCGCCAGGTCCCGTGTTGAGGCTGAACCATTCGACCGATCGATAAATGAACCCGATCGGTCGTGTGATTTTCGGGCCGGCACAGGAGGAGGATAGGTTCCGAATCCAATGCAGCCTGTGTTGGTAGAGAATCACCCCAAGAGAATCAGTTGTGGAGCGGTGCGCCACGTGGGAAATTCCGAATGGAAAATGCTCAAGCAATGATGACACTGAACCAATGCTTGACTCGTCTAAGATACACGCACTATTTTTCGAAGCGGGTTCGGTAAACAGATAATCACAATAAAACGTTGAACTTGTCTTAATAACGGACAACAATATCCCCTAATGTGGGCCCAAGCAAAGCTCTTCTTGAATTTTTTTCGAACTGGTTGTTTCTGCGTTGAGCGATCTCGCTAACTGCCTGAGAGATAGAATTCCGAAAGAAAGAAAGAAAGAACAAATATTATGGGAATAATTATATTCATACCATAAAAGATGTTCCACATGTTTTCCATTCTACTGCTTGCATAGCAAAACCCGGTGAAGATAGTTTTCTTCCACCTTCAGAATGATAGCAGTTGGAATACTTTCACACTGCGCCACAATGCTTTGTTTAAGTTCCTCGACAGTTCTCGGTTTTCGGGAATGAACCATTCGCTTCAGATATCCCCACAGAAAGAAATCCAAAGGGGGACAGATCAGGTGACCTTGGAAGCCTTTGGTCCTCCTCGGCCAATCCATCTGCAGTTACATTCCGTGTCGAGGAAACGTCTCACCACCAGAGCATTGTGTGGCGGTGTACCGTCATGTTGGAGCCAAATTGTAGTACCAACTACAGGTACCATATTATCTTGTAACATTTGCAAGTATGAAGTGCCTTTTCATGTGATATCTGAAGCGAACGGTTTATTCCCGAAAACCGAGAACTGTCGAGGAACTTAAACAAAGCATTGTGGCGCAGTGTGAAAGTATTCCAACTGCTATCATTCTGAAGGTGGAAGAAAACTATCTTCACCGGGTTTTGCTATGCAAGCAGTAGAATGGAAAACATGTGGAACATCTTTTATGGTATGAATATAATTATTCCCATAATATTTGTTCTTTCTTTCTTTCTTTCGGAATTCTATCTCTCAGGCAGTTAGCGAGATCGCTCAACGCAGAAACAACCAGTTCGAAAAAAAATCAAGAAGAGCTTTGATGTTACGGCTGGGGTCTGGCTGATTCCCGTGATGAAAGACCGAAAAGAAGAAATGGCACAATCCGATTCAGTCAACTCAAGATTTACCATCGGAGAGATGGCCCTGGAGCTGCGTCGACTAAAGGTTCACCAGCC